CTGAGAAAGTACCAGAAATCGAAGACTGGATACAAAAAGTTCTGTTCATGGCAGAAATGGATAAAATTACAAAGAAGTTGAATAATCAAGAAGACAACGTGTTTTTTCAAGAATGGAATGACTTTAAAATATATCTGGAAAAGAACTGGGATGTAAAACAAAACTTAATATGTTTAGATCAATATTAAGTCAAATGATGTTATCTTGAGGTTGGATGATAACAAATGATGTGTTAATGATATAATGAAATTTGTAAGAAGGGGGAGAAGCATTGCGGGAAGCCACTGGAGGGAGGGGAGGAAGGGAATGAGGTAAACAATGGACTGAATGATTTAATCTTATATGTTATGTTCCTAAGAAAATAAAAATTTGTTTACCAAAAAAAAAAAAGATAATGTTAGAATAATGCTAAATGTTTTGGAATATTATGAGATGAATCCAGATAAAGAAGTAGCGTTACTATTTTTAGACGCGGAAAAAGCGTTTGATAATGTTAGCTGGGATTTCATGATTCAAAAATTAGAGATGTGGAACGCAGGAGAGAATTTTCTTACAATGATAAAAGCAATTTATACAACACAAGTGGCAAAAGTACTGATTAACAAGGAACTGACAGAAAACATTCAAATAGAAAAAGGAACTAGGCAAGGGTGCCCATTGTCACCACTGTTGTTTATATTTACCTTAGAGACTTTAATTGATCAAGTAAGAAAGAGTAAATCAATTCAAGGATTAAAAGTTAAAGGCGAAGAATTTAAACTGCAAGCATATGCAGACGATTTAGTATTTATACTTGAAGACCCAAAGGCGTCAATTCTGAATTTGATACAGATAATTCAAGAATATGGAACATTAGCAGGTTTAAAGATTAATTTTAACAAAACAAAGATAATAACAAAAAACTGTTCAAAGAGACAGATAGACGAAATACAAGAAATATCGAAGATTGAAATAGTAAAAAAGGTTAAGTACTTAGGAATCTGGATATCAAATAGAAACATTACATTAAAAGAAGATAATTACAATAAACTACTCAAAGAAGTGAAAAAAGACTTAGACAAGTGGAAAGATTTGAAGATTTCACTGATGGTTAGAATCGCGACAATCAAAATGAATATTCTTCCTAGATTTATATTTCTGGCCCAAACTATTTCAATCTTAAGAAAAGATGACTTCTTTAAGGAATTTGGGAAAATATGTGACAAATTCATATGGAACAATAAAAAAAGCAAGGATAAAAAGTAAGAATATGCAAGATCAAAAAGACAGAGGAGGCTTTGGAGTACCAAATTGGAATCGATACTACAAGGCAGCTGCACTAACTTGGATAAAGGAATGGATAACACTGGAAAACAACAGGTTACTGAAATTAGAAGGGCACAATCTAATAACGGGCTGGCACAATTATATATGGTATGAAGATGTTAAAGTTATAAAAAATTTCTTACAACACACGATAAGGGGCTCTCTGATGAAAGTCTGGAAAGAAGTTAAGGCACAATTTTATGTGAAAACTCCAAAATGGGTGGCGCCAATAGAAGCCTCGGTAATACCAACAATAACTAGCAAAAGCTATATGCTATCATATGAAGAACTGTTAGATGCAACTAATAACCTAAAAACGGAAGAACAAATGATGAAGCAAAACATTAAATTCTCTTGGTGGGAGAAGACCCAATTAAATGCTAGATATAATATGGACAAAAAAAAGGGTTTCTATAGTGAAAGAAATGATTTAGATAAAATATGGTTATCCTCCAGTGACAAGTTAATTCAAAAAATATATAAATTACTAATGGAAGATTATTTGTTAGACGGAGAAAGCAAAAGAACGATGATAACATGGGAGAAAGACTTACATAAAAAAATAAGTATTGATCAATGGAAGAAAATGTGGAACTCAATACAATTAATGAAAGCAATTCCGTACAAAGAGAACATCTATAAGATGTTCTACAGATGGCATTGGACACCGGAGAAGTTAGCAAAATGCTATGCGAGTATGAACAAGAACTGTTGGAAATGCAAAAGAAATGTAGGAACATATATACATATGTGGTGGAACTGCGATATAATTCAAAGATACTGGAAAAAAGTCTATAGCATGATATATGAAATAACGGGGAAACTGCTTTATTAAATATGTTACCTAGTACATACAATAGGACAAGCAAATACTTTATAACATACTTTTTTACTGCAGCAAGAATGTTGTTAGCTAGCAAATGGAAAACAGACGAGATACCTTCAAAACCAGAAATTTTAGAAAAAATATTATCAATTGCAGAAATGGATAGATTAACTATGATATTGCAAGGTAAAAACAGAGAGGTTTACGAAAAGAGATGGAATTTGCTATATATTTGGTTGGAGAATGTATATAAGAAAGACTCCAAAATATAATGAAATATACAATGTACAAGTTAAATATATAAAAAAATGCATAAATAAAATATTCAAAAAAAGAGAGGTTCCAGTGATGTCAGAGGGTGTGGCCTTATGACACACTTCCGATGATGTCAGGGGGTGTGGCCTTATGACACACTTCCAGTGATGTCAGGGTGTGTGGCATATGCTAGAGAGTTATGCTAATGAGCTCCGGCAGCTCTTTTTCTACAAAAAGACCCCTGTAAGACTGTGTATATTAGAAAGCTTTACCTCAGCAACCTCTATACTTTGAATCCTATTTATATATTCCACGCCTGTTTATTAAAATCTTTATTCTGTTTCGAAAGTTAATTTTGCCTCAGGTGCCATTTCATGAGAGTATTTTAAAACAAAACAGCTCCTGTATTCCCTCTACTTCCTGTGCTGGGTCATAAACCATAATGTATGTGACAGAGTGGAACAGTTAAAGTTTATAAATAAAGAAGAAATACAAGCTACTAAAGGGCAGCCCAATCACTGAGGGGAACTAAAAATATTTTTGGCAGGAAAACCTGCCTGGGAGTGGGGAAGCATCAGCCTATAGCTAGGGGTGGGGGGGTTTTGCGAGGGGACCTTGGGGGGCCCACCAGCTAATTAAATTGGGGGGGCCCAGCTTCCCTCCCCCCAGCAAGGGCAGCCCTTTCCTGTGGAGCGTCTGGCTCCGTCCCTCCCTGAGGATCCCCAGTGCTCCTTCCCACGTCCAGGGCCGGCCCGCTCACTAGGCAAGCTAGTCTCTCACCTAGAGCGCGGGGCCATCATGGGGGTGCCGGACTGAGCCACCCGAGGGCCCTGCCGCCGCCGCCCACCTACGCCTGCTGGAGTCGCCCCCACCGCCCTGGTGTGAGCGGCCAGGCCCCCGAGGAGGAGGGAGGCGCTCCACAGTCTGCCCCCCGCCCCGCCAAAAGCTTGGCTCCGAGGGCCCTGCTGCCACTGCCGAGGAGCAGCCATCCTTCGGAGCCCTCCCCACTCCTCGCACCGCAGCCCCCTCTGCGGGCCGGCCGCTTCGCCCCGCTGCCCGCAGGTCCAGGAGACCGCCGCAGATGCCACCGCCGCCTCCCTGCCCGGCCGGGGCTGAGCCACACAGCCTTCCCTTCCCCCTGAGTAGCACGGCCTTCCCTTCCCCCTTCCGGCCTTTCCCTTTCCCCTGAGCCGCACGGCTGGGGCTGAGCCATGGCCAGCGGAGCCTGCGCCCCTGGGAGCCCTCGGACCGCTGCCTCTGGCTGCCCCCTGCAGCAGCCCTGCTCGGCGGTCCTGCTCCCACCTTGCCGCCACCGAGGAGGAGGATCCCTTTGTTAGGGACAGCAGCCGCCCGAGCCGAGCCAAGCCCCAGAGGAGCTGCTGAGGGTGGGAAGTGAGCCGGGACTGGGAAGCGCTGGCATGGGGACCTCGCTGCCGAGCTGGCTCATGTGAGGCGCGCCGCTGAGCTGGCTCACGCGGGGCGGCACGGAGTCAGCACGACAACGAGCCCCGAGGAAGGGCTGGCATCGCACTGGCAGCGACCGGCGAAGTTTGCGCTGCCGGAGCGAGTGGCAGGAGCGCTGAGGGAAAGGTAATCCGAGTCTTCTGGGCATGTGCAAGCCCTTCAAATCGGCTGCTTCCCTTAAAATGTCTGAATGGTCAGCTCCGTAGGTCCCGCGATGGGGCGAAGGGGAAGGGATTGGCCGAGGAGAAGATCAAGGTTAGGTGCTGGCTGGGGGAAGGGAGGGACCTCTCCAAGTCTCTGGCAAGTGGGAAAGGGAGTGCGCGCGCATGCGGACCTCTCGCCGCGCACCCAGGTAGGTATCCAGGCCCCGCCGGTAGGTTGGCATCTGCGCTCACCTAGGGCGCAGGAACACCTCGGGCCGGCCCTGCCCACGTCGCTGCACCAGAGGCAGTCTGACCTCCACCCTTGGCTCCCTCCTGGGGCTGGAAGAGGTGAGGTGTGCAGTGGCTAGGTTGGCCATGAAGGTGTGGCGTGTGTGCGCACTGGTGTGCAGGAGCACAGCCAGGTGCACCTGGCAAGGACTGAATGAGGCCCCTGCTTGCCTCCTTGCCTTACCGGCAATGTTCCCTCTAAGCTGCGGATTCTTGTGAGCAACAATTCAACTTTGTGAGCAACTGGCATTACAGTTGTGAGCAGGTGACTTGGCTACTGCATAAATCAGTTTGCTTTGGAGCCATCCTTCCTGAGCTGAGACAAAAATGTGTGAGCTGGAGGCTAAAAAACTGTGAGCTAGTGCACACAAACTCGGCTTAGAGGGAACACTGCTTACCGGGCTTAGCTGCTGCTGGCAGGCTGGGCGGCAAACATCTCTCAGCCCAGCCTTGCCATCTCTGCTGCTTCTTGTGCTGCCACTGCTGCTTGTCCTTCCCACTGACAGGCAATTAGGGGGGAGAGGGAACCAAGGCTCAAGTAGGGAGGCCCATAAAAACCACTAGGGGGGCCTGGCATTGATATATTCTCCTCCTACCCTGGAGATGTGGTAGTAAGCTTTTCTTTCACTTTGTCCCTTCTTCCACTCTGCGGGAAACTCCCAAAGTCGGCCATCTTTCTCCCAAAGGCCTTCCCCCAACCCCCCCCTTCAGTCTCTCACCTGGCTCCTCCCAGGCCAAGTTCAGGGGCTCTGGCAGGCCATCGTGTTCCACGTGGCACCGAAAGTGGTCCCTCTCCTTGGAGTCAACCTTAATGCTGATCCAGGTGTGGTAGGTCCCGTCCGAGTTGGGGACGACGCCCCCATGGAAGGTGTCCTGGTGCCAGACTTCTCCGTCCTTCCTCCAAGTGACATCAATCTCCTTGGGGTAGAAGCCATGGAGCCGGCAGATGAGGGTCTCCAGGCCATCTGACTCTGCCTTATGGGCCACGCGACCATCTGGTGGATCTGTGAAAACAACCAGATTTGACCCCCTTGCTGAGAGAGCAGCAGAAATGGCAGCCATGGTGGGTTCATGCAGTCTGTGGGGTTTTAGCTGAAATGGTCCAGAAATTTTCAGGGTCCTTTAGCTATACAGAAGACCAGATAGCTTCATTAATACAACAACCTTAATTTTTCAACACAAGGGCTTCTTCAAATGATAGCGGTGGTTGGAATAAATTTGAAAATATGAATTTTAGAAAAATGAAAATAGATCTGCATTCAGGAGCTTTATGTGACTACTTGAGAGATAAGATTATACCTAGAGGATTAAGGATTTAAAAATATAACGTTTGATTGGGCCCTTATATGATTTTAAAATTTGTGATTAATAAATACTTGTATTTTTAATATATATATTTCCTTTATTATGTTTTTAATATTGGCCCCTTTTCTTGCATTTGACTAACCTTTGTCAGGTTCTGGGTTCATGCACTCCAGCATTTCCCAACCCACAAGTCACAGAGCCCGTGACCACAGGCCCCCCCAGTTTTGCTGCTATAGGCATTTGTGGGTGCTCTGGGGGTTTTCTCTTTCAGTGGTTACCACGTCAAGTAAAGTTGGACTTGGGGGGTCACAATACCCATCAGGTTGGGGCCCACTGATCTAGCCCTGTCCTGAGATGGGGCAACCCTCCCCCACCTCTGCCATTCAGAAGAGATGAAAAACTCCACAGACAGGAATTCCCCAGTGCCCCTCGCCTTTTCACCCACCAGGTGATCTAAACTACCACCTTCTCCAATAGGCTGTGGGGTGGGGGAGGCAGCACCAGACTGGGCTGTGGATGCTGTATGGGGGGAGATTGGGGGGGGCTCTTTCCAACTTTAAATCCCCCCCAAAGCTGCTAGTGAAGTTCCACAATAATATAAAGGGATGTTGGGGGGGGCTGATCTGCCCATTCAGTGGAAGGAGGCTCTAGAGCTGTGGTGGCGAACCTATGCCATGTGCATTCCGTATTTTTATTGCAACTCTACTTGTACTGTAATGTATTTCACTGGCGCCCACGCAAGTCAATTGGCATTCCTTGCTTTCTTTATTTCCAATTGGGCTTTAA